GGAGGTCTCATGTTTGCTCTGCAGCTCCTGGGGCCCCCTCTTCCTTTGGGGGTGGCTCCAGGAATATGGGGGTGACTGATGGTGGTTTCTTCACTCTGTGAATATGAGAATATATTAGAGATTATCATCTACATCCTCACACCGTTCCCATTAAGTAGGGCAGGAATACATCACTCACGAGTAGGGGGAGGCTGGGACTCCCACCACAAGGAAGTGGTTCTTCTTCCGAAATAACCTCCACAGTCCCTGGTGGTTGCCCCGCACATCTAGGTCCCAGATATGGAGGCACTAGGGATGGGAAAAGAAGGTACAGGTGAGAGAACTGCAAGGAAGAGGCATTGAAGACACTATGGCCTAGCCCCTACCCCTCCTTAGCAACCTCCTCAATTTCCAAGACAGCATCTTCTTCTGGAATAGAAATTTGCAAGAATGAGTTGTTGGGAGTAGGGTAGGGAGGAAAGCTTCTGAGGTTATGAAGAGAAACAGACTGAGGAAGATTACAGAATAGTCTCTCTCAGTATTTACAGGCAAGGAATTCTAGTGTCGTCCATAGGGAGTTGTGCTGCTAACCCAGAGCTAACATCTCCCTTGTGGCTTGAATCCACCAGCAGTTCCCGTGTGATTTACAGCTTCCTAAAACTTACTGGAGGGTCAGCTATGAGACCAACTCAACAGCAATCGGTTGAGTTTTGATTATTTAGGGTCAGAAAGTGTAGCCGAGCTTCTTAGTAGTCTGTGTTAGGGCACCTTGGCAAGCTGGGTCCAGGTGGTGAAGTCATCATCCTTCTCCATTTGGATAAAGGCCACATAGGTGTGGCCTTCTGTATCTGGCAAGAAAGAGTCTTCACAAGGGTTTTTGCTGTGATCCAGGATCTCAGCCTCACTGCAGGGGACAGGGATGGGGAAATGTCAGGTCAGAATAAGGCATGGTCATGAAGAATAGGGCCCCATGCTTCATTTAATGCTTTATTGCTGCCACCTTGAGATTCAAGGGAGACTGAATTTTCATTCTGCACTAGACTCCACAAATTATGGATTCAAGAACCTCAGTATCTCATACCTCCTCATTCCCTACCACATACCCATTGCCATGGCCATAGTTAGCCTCTTTAAAGTGCTAAAAAGCAAGAATATTAGTTCAAAGACTAAAGTGTGTCTGACATGGTATTTTCAATTGTTTCATATACAAGTGAAAATCAGACAATGAATAACGAAGATCTAAGAAGAAATGAATTGTGGTGTTGACGAATGGTACTGATTACGTTGCTGTTGTTATGTGCTGTTGAGATGCCTGCGACTCATAGCAACTCTGTGTAAAGCAGCTCTGAAGCCTGCCCTGTCCTGAGCCAGTCTCTCTGACTCTGACACACCTACCTCTATTGCCCCAGTTACTGTAGCAATCCATCTCACTGGGGTCTTTATCTCCTGCATTGTCCCTCCATCATTCCGACCATGATGTCCTTCCCCAAGGATTGGTCCCTCCTGGCCACATGCCCAAAGTATGTGGGATGGAGCTTTAAAATCCTAGCCTCCAAGGAGAAACTTGGTTTCATGCTCTCCAAGACAGACCTATTTGTTTTCTTGGTATTTCATGGTATGTTCAAGACTCTTCTCCAGCAACACAACTCAAAGG